GATGACACCCTGGATATACCCAAGAATATCTGTGGGTAGTTTTAAAGTTGCCATGGCCTGGACAAAGGAGCCTTTGGTTCTAGAGACATGTTTTTTACCTGACCTATTGTATATGTATGTGTGTGTGTAGACACACACATGCAAAAACTATACAAATAAATAATAATGGGAAAATCCTCTCACAAGTAATCAGAAATAGGACAACAAAATGTATCAAAATGTAAACAATTGTGAGAATCTCCTCTCAGGTCAACTCCATACTTTGTTATTAAAGTTAGGTTGAGATGATCAAGGGTGGCAAGTTCAAGTCTCTACCACTCTTTGCTGGTCCATCACCACTCTTATTATAGCATATCACATCAAGCTTAACGGTCAGACTCACAGACTTAGGTGTCCTCTTATACTCTCCAGCACAAGGCACACTATCAGTGGGACGTTTAGGCATGACACACAAAGTTGGAAATAACGGGGTAAACTAAACCCATGAAGTGGAGATAATGGGGTAAAATGTAAACAAGTGCAGCGGAAAGGACTGAGTCGAAGGCAGTGCACAGAGCCCGTTGTGGCAAATTTTCACACCCGCCATTATTTTCGAAACGGCTCTGCCTCTATCGTCGGATCAACGGAATAGTCAAAGAACCTTGTGGGGTATTTCCCTGATATGTTATTGTAGGTTATGTGAAGCATCAGTTAATGGGATGTTGGTTTATGGGGTATACCAATATGTCAAACATGGATAAAGGCGTTAAAGGTTAGGTCAGGTCAGGTGAAACACCATTAAGTTTATAAAAAATATAACAAACATAGGTAAAGGTGTTAAAGGTTAGGTCAGGTCAGGTCAGGTCAGGTGAAACACCATAAAGTTTATAAAATACGTCTAACATGGATAAAGGTGTTGAAGGTGTACTATATGACAGGGAGTACCTGGTGCTGGTGGTGATGTTCTTCATAGTCAACGTGAGCAACAACCAGGCGTTTGGCTTCAGGATTTCCAATCCCTACACATGATCTTCGCGTGTGAGTCCTGCTTGTCTTGTTTCGTTTGTTTACCTGGCTGTACCGTGTGTTGGCTGGCTTGTATTGTCCGTACATACCAGCCATAGTGATCATGGTGATGTGCTCGCTCCAATGAAGTATCTTTATGGAGGTGTGCGACGAATTCCAAAATGAACGCCGCAACTCCTGTCATCTCGGTACTGTTGTCAAAATCGTACGTTGTTTGTGTCGTACTGTCTCGCACAAGATCGCAGGGGAACCGTAAGGATACTTATTGGAGGAGAGTGAACTTGTAATAATTAGGGTACTGTTATAACACGACCGATAATAACCGAGAAATGCAATAACAAGAGTGGTGTTGTATTTTCAGGGTGGACTGATAGCTAACATGATCATGGCAGTGCTGGTGCTGGGCAGGAACTACTCCCCAACTAAGTATGTGTCTGTGGCCATGATCACCCTCGGCACCATCGTCTGCACCTTCGCCTCGGCTGAAACACTGGTTAGTCCTCCTCCCTCCCTTAAAAATCTTAAAGAGGGATGAAGTTAGGGCAATGGAGCGATAGTTAGTGGGATTAGAATGTTCACCCTTCTTCGGGATGGGCTGAACTGAGATGATGGAAACATTTGGGTTATGAGGCATAGGCGAGCAAGACACAGGGGCCAGAACCTCAACACACTCCCACTGTATCTTTGTTCTAGTGACTTGTTAAGTATGTCAGTAGTGGTGTGTGAGTGGGTGGGTGTAGTGGCTGTATGTCCAGAATTTGTTGTTGTAGTGCACTTAAGAACATGGCAAAAACGAGTGATTAAAATATAAACATAATCATGCACCAGAAAAGCTGATTGATTGTTGATACTATGGTAAATATTTGTTCTGAATAGATAGATTAGAAAACAGAGAACTAAAATAAGGAGACTTGTTAATATAATGAGAAAAATAGTGATGTTTGGAGGAGAGAGTTAAGTTTGGGGATGTGTACCACCTGTAACATGTGTGTGTGTTAAGTTAGGGGATGTGTACCACCTGTAACATGTGTGTGTGTTAAGTTAGGGGATGTGTACCACCTGTAACATGTGTGTGTGTTAAGTTAGGGGATGTGTACCACCTGTAACATGTGTGTGTGTCCATGGAGGCAGACTACAGTACTAATGTTATGGTGTAAACTGATGACTTAATATTCTGTGCAGGATAGTGAAGACCTCGAGTGGGAGGTAGCTGGAGGAGTCTCACAGTTTGTCACGTGGTTGATGGGTATTGGTCTTCTTACCTTTGCTCTCTTCATGTCTGCTCGTATGGGAATATTCCAAGAGTGCCTTTATTCCAAGCACGGCAGGCACCATCGGGAGGCACTTTTTTATATCGTAAGTGAACGAAAACGATCGATGTGTTTTTGTGTGTGTGACCGTTTAGAAGGATCCCGAGACATAATGTGGTCAAGTCTTTGTTTTTTACTTTTATTACAAGATCACTGGTAACAAATATGATTATAATTCCAACTAATGGCCACTTACATATTATGTTAAGGAAGAGCCAAATATTAGTATGTGTGTGTATAATGTATCATCTTAACCTTTTCACTACAGTGCACCAATTATAATATTTTATTTGGCTAAAGTTAGATTATTTTATCCAGGTAGAGAGGACACAAGGGTTAAAGTGAGTGCCCCCAGTTTAGAATAAAAAGTTTAATAAGTCTTGCCTGCAAAATTTTATTAAACCTAATTTTAAGTAGAATGTAATTCAGAATAGACGGTGAGTTATCTGTAGAGCAAAATGGAATTAAAAAGGGAAAGGAACTAGAGAAGCTGTATTTGGTTTGAGAATTTTTGGTGAAAGCTTTAGAGGTGCAAAGAAATTTGTACATTTGCTTTTTGGGTTTTGAAAATGATAAGGTAAAGCACAATACAGTAAACTTATAGAAATTTTGAGGGGAAATAATAGGCATTAATGAAGGAGAGAAAGTATTAGATTTTAAAAATCTTTACTGGCAACAGGAGGCTGCAGTGTTAGTAAATAATGAACTTACTGTAGTATACATAGATTTGGCTATGTGAGAGTTACGGTACCTGTATTTTACAAGCGTTATCTCTGCAGGATTCTTGTTGACGTCCAGGAGCATCTTGACACGTGGTGAAGTTCAACAACTCGCTGCCCCTTCCTGCGCTGGACACCGTTCCAGTCTTGGCCAGTGTGCCGAGGCTGTGGCTCTACCTACTGGGCAACACACTCACACAGTATCCTTTTTTGTACAATACACTACTATGTTGGGTAGACTACCGTGTGTGTACTGGGACCATGTCACCCAGCACACTGAGTAGAGTCTGCTCTTTGTTCATAATTGTGTACATGTGCTTCTGTGTTTTATAATGTGCACATTTATGGTTCCAACTGTCTGTCTGCCTACCTGTATCTTTATATTTTATTTTATTTGTATATGATCATTGGTGTGGTATTATGAGTGTCCATATTAATCTCTCCAGCTTACTTCATGCTGTCACTTGGCCAAATTCTTCTCTATACAATACCCGACAGTTTCAGCGAGCACCTTGGCACACTTATTGTTCTTTATCCACTAGTCATAATATAGTAATAACACTATGAGTTGAGCTTTTGATAAAAGTGCCAATACAAAAAGGTTTCCAAGTCACTAACACCATCAGGTTGCTTTTTGTTGGTTAATCTTCAGGATCGAGGTAATAAAACAGTTTTTGTTTATTACATTATTTAACATTATTTATTTATAGGTTATGGTGTTATAGGTAGTGATGGGTTTATTTATATTTATTGTGACATTACTACAGTTCCACCAAGAACAAATTGACACATAAAGGGCTCAGGAACATAACCTATTGTAACCTGAAAAAGAATTCACAAGACCGAACCTAACAAGAGACCCCACTCATTCACTGTTACAACTACACCAGCAACAGTTACTTTACATGAAGATTAACCACCTTAATGCTAACCTAACCTAAGCTAACCTAACCTAACCAACCTAGGGTAACCTAACCTAACAACTAAGTAACCAACCACCTAACCTAAATTATGAGTTGAAAAATAACCAAATCATATCATATATACAACAATATTCCTATTGGCCACAACATGGTGCAGGATTCTTCCGAGATAATTTCCGGGTAACAAGAAAACTCTCAACTCTGAAAATCCACATTCGGGATTTTCCCATTAAAGGGATTTTCTGGAAGTGGCACACCTGATTTCTAACCTGGAAACATCCTCCTACGACCTAGAATAGGAATTTCCTGAAAATCAAGCCAATTTCTATTCTGGTTATTGGAGTTCTGGCCGACAGAAATATTAGAGTTATAGCTCATTGGATGATAACAGTTTGGTCATCAGGTAGTGAACAGTTGGATTTTGTTTGGTGGGTCTGTGGTAGAGAACATGAGAGTTACTGTGCAATACTTGACATGGTGAGAGGAACAGGAACAGGAACTGGTCACTCACACATTACAGGAGGATCCCGGGTTATGAGCATACAGGAGGTCCCAGGTTGAGCATACAGGAGGTCCCAGGTTATAGCACACAGGAGGTCCAGATTTGTGAAGCTTATGTGAAGTCCAGGTTGTGAGCAACAGGAGTCCCAGTTGTGAGCAGGAGTCCCAGGTTGTGAAGCAGCAGGAGAGAATCCCAGGTTGTGAAGCCTGAGAGGTCCCAGGTTGTGAGCAGGAGGTCCCGGGTTGTGAAGAGAGTCCCCAGGTTGTGAGGCAGGAGGTCCCAGAGTTGTGAACCTTGTGAGAGGAATCCCAGGTTGTGGCTTGTTGGAGAGGTCCCAGGTTGTGAAACCTTGAGAGGTCCCAGGTTGTGAAGCAGAGAGGTCCCGGGTTGTGGCTTGGGGAATCCCAGGTTGTGGCATAGAGGTCCCAGGTTGTGAGCAGGCAGGAGGAGGTCGGGTTGTGAGCAGAGAGTCCCAGGTTGTGGTGAGAGGTCCCAGGTTGTGAGCCTTGTGAGGAGGTCAGGTTGTGAGCCATGGAGGTCCCGGGTTGTGAGCAGGAGAGTCCCAGGTTGGCAGTGGGAGGTCCCAGGTTGTGAGCAGGAGAGGTCCCAGGTTGTGAGCAACAGGAGAGTCCCAGGTTGTGAGCAGGAGGTCCCAGGTTATGTGAAGCCTTGTGAGGTCCCAGGTTGTGTTGTAAGAAGTCCCCAGGTTGTGAAGCAGCACAGGGAGGTCCCGGGTTGTGAAGCAGCAGAGTCCCGGGGACATGGCAGCGGGGAGGTCCCAGGTTGTGAAGCCTTGTGGGGAGGTCAGGTTGTGAGCCTTGGAGGGAGGTCCCAGGTTGTGAGCCTTGGGAGGTCCCGGGTGTGAGCGCCAGGGAGGTCCCAGGTTGTGAAGCAGGAGAGTCCCAGGTTAGTGAGCAGCGGGAGGTCCCGGGTTGTGAAGCAGAGTCCCAGGTTGTGAGCACGGCGAGGTCCCAGGTAGTGAGCAGGAGGTCCCCAGGTTAGTGGCTTGTGAGGTCCCAGGTAGTGAGCAGGAGGTCCCAGGTGATTAAACCTGGCAGGAGGTCCCGGAGTTGTAAAACAGGGGAGATCCCAGGTTGTGAGCGGGAGGTCCCGGGTTGTGAGCCAGGAGAGTCCCAGGTAGTGAGCCTTGGGGAAGGTCCCCAGGGTGAGCAGGAGGTCCCAGGTTGTGAGCGGGAGGTCCCAGGTAGTGAGCAGGAGGTCCCAGGTAGTGGTGGGATCGCGGAGGTCCCAGTGAGTGAGCAGGAGGTCCCCCGGAGTAGTGAAGCAGGGGGAGGTCCCCGAGTAGTGAGCAGCGGGAGGTCCCCGGGTAGTGGCTGAGGAGGTCCCCAGTAGTGAGCCTTGGGAGGTCCCCAGTGAGTGAGCAGGGAAGTCCCCAGGTGGTGACAGCAGGGAGATCCCCCGGTAGTGAGAGCAGCAGGAGGTCCCAGGTAGTGAGCCAGCTGACCCCGGGTGGTGTGAGCATGGGAGGTCCCCGAGTGAGTGAGCCTTGGGGAGTCCCCAGGTAGTGAGCAGGAGGTCCCAGATGAGTGTGAGCAGGTGGTGAGTGAGCAGCGGGAGGTCCCCGGGTGAGTGAGCCAAGTGAGAGGTCCAGGTAGTGAAGCAGGAGTCCCCGGAGTAGTGAGAGCAGCAGGGAGGTCCCAGGTGAGTGAAGCAGTGGGAGGTCCCCAGGTAGTGAAGCCTTGTGGGAGTCCCAGGTAGTGAGTAGCAGGAGGTCCCCAGGTGAGTGAGCAGCAGGAGGTCCCGGGTGAGTGAGCCATCGGGAGGTCCCAGGTGAGTGAGCCTTGGGAGGTCCCAGAGTGGTGAGCTGTGGGAGGTCCCGGAGTAGTGAGCCTTGTGTGAGAGTCCCAGAGTAGTGAGCTTGTGGGAGGTCCCGGGTGGTGAACCTGTGGGAGGTCCCAGGTGTGAGTGAGCAGCAGGAGGTCCCAGAGTGTGTGTGCATGAGGTCCCCGGAGTAGTGGCAGGGAGGTCCCAGATGGTGAGAGGTCCCAGGTAGTGTGAGCCTTGTGGGGAGGTCCCCAGGTGTGAGCTGAGAGCCCCCAGGTAGTGAGCAGGAGTCCCCGGGGTAGTGAGCAGCGGAGAACCCCGGAGTGAGTGCTGTGGGGAGGTCCCCAGGTGATGTGAGCAGCAGGGAGGTCCCAGGAGTAGTGAGCAGCAGGAGGTCCCAGGAGATGAGCAGGGAGGTCCCGGGTAGTGAGGCAGCAGAAGTCCCCGGAGTGAGTGAGCAGGAGGTCCCAGGTAGTGAGCAGCAGCGGAGGTCCCGGGTAGTGAGCCTTGGGAGTCCCCAGGTAGTGAGCCTTGTGAGGAGATCCCAGGTGAGTGAGCCACATGGAGTGGGGAGGTCCCAGTGAGTGAGCCAGGGGAGGTCCCCCGGAGTAGTGTGTGGGGAGGTCCCCAGGGTGAGTGAGCAGCGGGAAGTCCCCAGGTGAGTGAGCAGGGAGTCCCAGATGATGAGCCTTGGGGAGTCCGGGCAGTGAGCATGGCAGAGGTCCCAGGTGGTGAGCAGGGAGGTCCCCAGAGTAGTGAACAGTGGGGAGGTCCCCAGTGAGTGAGCAGAATCCCGAGGTGTGGGGAGGTCCCCAGGTGTGAGTGGTGTGTGGGAGGTCAGGTGGTGAGCGCAGGTCCCCGGGGTGGTGTGGGATCCCCGGAGTGAGGTGAGCATGGAGGTCCCCAAGTAGTGAGGAAGCGAGTCCCCAGGTGAGTGAGCCTTGTGAGAGTCCCCGGGTGAGGCAGGCGGGGGAGTCCCAGGTAGTGAGACTGGCGGGGGAGGATCCCAGGTGGTGAGGCAGCAGGAGTCCCAAGATGAGTGAGCAGCGGGAGAGTCCCGGAGTGAGTGAGCGGGAGGTCCCAGGTGAGAATGACAGCAGGAGGTCCCCAGGTAGTGAGCCTTGTGAGAGGTCCCAGTGTGAGCCAGCCTTGGGAGGTCCCAGGCTAGTGAGGCCAGCAGGAGGTCCCCAGGGTGAGTGAGCAGGGAGGTCAGTGTGAGAGCCTTGGAGGAGTCCCCCGGGTAGTGGCAGTGGGAG